GTATATATTATTATATTTAGATAACACTGCTGGGTAAAGCTGACTGCAGACGGCCCAGCCTACAACAGGCTCTTCAACTAACCGTGGCTGTCTACAAAAGGCCAGAAACTACCGGGACTGTAAAAAAAAAAAAACTAAACTGAAAGTAATGGGGCTCAGTTTCAAGCTAAAAAAAAAAAAAAAACCGAGAAACAGTCAGCGGAAATGTTTGTATTGCCTTCACGTTGTTTTAAAGTCCTCGGTGAGATGAGTTAACGCTTCCTCGCTGTGAGGGTCGTTAACGGATCGACCGTTGGCCGCCAGTTGAGCGACAGTTGAGTGACAGTTGGCCGCTACTTCACTCATTAAACACGATAAACGAGCTCCGTTGCGAGCCGTTAGACAGTTACGGTAACTTCCCTACCTGGTGAAGCGCTGTCAGTCCGTCTATGTTGGCGTGGTTGATGTCAGCTCCCTGCCGGAGCAGCGCTGCCACCTCCTCCCGGTCTCCGGCGGAGCAGGCGGCCATAAACACGGCTCCCTGGGCGAATCGAACCTTCGCCCGCCGCGTCCCGGAACCGCTCACGGTTTCCCGGGCCTCCCAACCAGTCTGATCCGTTTCCGAGCCCAGCCATCGCTGCAGCTGATCCTGCCGTCGCTGTTTGGCAGCTTCGGACCGGGAATGGTCAGTGGCCGCCATCTTCCCTGGTCTGTCCCGGACAGATTCAGCTCATGGTACGAGGAGAAGCGGAGTGGATGGTTTGGATTGAGCCTCCCCGGGCTGCGCCCCCTGGTGGACACGCTGGAGACGAACCCGTGAACTTCACAGCGAACTTCTGACTGAGTGGCAGTAGTATGCTGCCTTCAGTGGTACTCGGAAATTCCTACGTCAGGGGGAGGAACCGTGTGTTTTCTTTATAATAAATACTGCAGTGACATTTTATTCTCTTTTATATAACAGTCTACAAAGAAGACAGTGTATATATATATTACAAGTGTCACTTTCTTATAGTACTATGGTATATTTCCTTTTATTTTAGGTGACACAGGAACTATATCATTTTCAGATTCTCCATAATATTTGTATTCATAAAGTTTGTATTTGTTTGTATTTTGTATTATATAATGTGTTCATGTGCTTCGTGTTTTTATCTTGCCTTTTGTGTACTGCTGCATAAAAAGCAAGTATCCTTTGGGGACAAATAAAGTAATTGATTGACTGATTATTTTTAAGATAGACTTGATTACACACATCATACACACACACGCACACAAAAATACGGGTAAAATAACTTGTCATCATTCACAATTTAGTGCAAAATCTATATAGTAATACAGACTAAGTGTGACTGTGAGAGAGTCACAACAGTTTACAAAATTTGTGGGGAAATAAAAGAGTGAAATTATAGAGAGCGTTAATAAACAGGATATTTACCTAAAGACCAACATAATATGTGTTTTGCACCAGATAGCCACTGAACAGAATCCATGCTTTCCAATCTTAAACATCAGAGGCCAAACTTATAAGACAAAACAGAACAACATGAGCAAATCCCCATTTTCCCGACAGCACTTGAAGGCATTGTCACGTAACCACGCAACGATAATGGCCAATGTCGTGCGTAGAAATCTCTGTCATTTCCAAATCCACTTCAACAAATATTGTTTTCTTTGTAGTGAACTTCTCTCAGAGTTTATCACTCACAGCCCATCAAACAGCTTTCGCAACAGACCACAGCTGATAAGACTGTGTGATGAGTTGTGTTGTGATTTGTGAGCAGGGTGGGGATTCCCGATATGCGCCTCTGGTGCTGACAGCAGTGTTGACTGTCTGGTCTCCTTAGTAAATCCTCTTTGTTGTAATGACAGTATTTGTTACAGTCTGTTTTATTTTGAGTTAGTAACTTAAATTAAAGGACTTGTTTGATCCAGAGAAGAGCATAAACTGTGATTTAAGGGGGGGCAAAACAAATTGTAGCTTCTTAAAACAAAACAAAAATAGTCACAGTATTTGTTTATATATTGTTTATAGCTTATGCCTCAGCATTTTAATGTATAGTTTATCTTAGAGGCCTGGTTTTTGATTTATAAATTAGTTTAAAATGTACAAATCAGTAATAATAAACCTAGAGATCTGCCTCTACAAGCACAGTGAGCATGAATTTCTTTGAAAACTGTGAAATCTGAATATCAAGTACTGAAATCTAAGAAATTAGATAGTTGTAGAGATTCATTCATATCTTTCAAATACATACTTCTATATTTAAAAAAAGGAACATAACTTGTTGGTGATTAATACAGAAGTTGCAGATTTTACCTTTACAGTTCCTAATTGTTCTAAGAAGGATTTAATGAATAAAATAACATTACATTTTTTTTTAATTGTGGGGCATATAATAGCTTAAATTAACCAGGAACTTATTTAATCTTTTTTTTTCAACCTGAATTTCCATATTCAATATTTCACACTGTTTATGCTAGTGTTTTAACTTCTGTCAAACTGTATCCTGCACTAAAATAAAAAAAGCTACATTATTTCTGTGCTTTACACTCACAAGCATGAATCAACTAACTATTTGTCATTCTGCTTTGATCATCTGGAAACCCCCCAAGAACCCTTTCAGGTCCCTGATCCACTGTTTGGTCACTGTTACAGATGTGTACTGTTCCCTGCTCTGTATGCACTCTTCACAGTAACTCACGGCTCTTCTGGGAACATTGTTGTTCACATACACAGCAATGAGGAAACACTCATAAGCTCCAGTTAATGATAAACAATACCAGTTTATTTAATGATCACATAAATATTATTCCCTGCAACATTTTGACAATATATTAAATTCACTTGCAATTATGTCACTGGACATTAAGGCACAACTCAGCGCTTAATCACACAGTTTCTACACAGTACAAGAGAAGTATTTAAACAGGTTGATTATTACCTAAGAAACTCATCTGATCAAATAGTGTTATCAAGTGCAATTCAGATTAAACAGATTCTTAGACAGACAAAATCACATATTTGATTTACTGAGAACGCATTAAAATGTTACATTTGTAATATAACATCAACATCATTGTCAAAAGATGTTTAAGAAGAATTTCACTGCAATGTAGATTTAAAAGAGTCGTAACTTACAAAGTAAATCGAGATGATAGAAATACGTTGCTACGATTGAGAAAACAGAGCAAAGCTGCTTTTTTTCATATAAATAATTGTAAAGACATAAGACAACATAAAGTATTTTGTTTCACAATACTGCATTGACACTTGCATCAAATAAATGGAGTAACTACCTGTAACAAACAGATCGGTGCATCCACTGTGCTCCCTCCTCCAGTCAGTCTCTTCCACCAGAAGTAACTTGGAGCTAAAACCGGATGAAGCAGGAACACTGTGCTTAACTACTGGTCTGACTACATTCCACTATAAACATAAACACTCGCCTATTTTAACCATGTTGCTTCAAGTGCACATTTTTGTTTGCTACGCCCTGTAATTCAAGTTTGTGCATGACTGTCAGTTTAAATGCACTTCTGTTGACAGACAGACATATTGTGTCTATGTCTAAACTGTAGCTAAAGACTTCTTTCAGTGTCATGCATTAGGCAAATATATTAATACACACTGTAAGTGTAAAGATACATTTTTACTATTTCGAACCCCTACAAAAAGGGGCTGGTTAGATTCTTCCTGGCAGCTTAAAATATGTAAATGTAAGGGTGTAAACAGATATTAAAATCTGCTTTAAATGTTACTGGATCTAGATTAAGTAAGTTACTCCAGAGCTGGAGCAGGTGGAAGACAAACTCTGTGCATTGTGAGGCCTTCTGGGGAGAGGGTGGGCGGAGGGCTCTCGTCTGCTGACATCGGTTCGGTTTGGAAGACGCCCTGCAGGTCCATGTTGATAAACAGCCCTCCAGACAACAGCTGTCGCTTGTACTCGTCGAGACGCATGAAGACGTCCAGGACTGAAGAACTGCTCCCGTTCACCCAGGTGGGAAACAGGCTGGTGGAGCTGAGCTGGGATGGGAGGGACTGGTAGTGGTGCAGCTCCAGCTGACAGAAAAACCTAGAGTACATATTAGCAGCATACAGTGTGAAATATGACGCAGCTGAAGTTGTTTCACTCAGCTATAATCGATATTTTTATATTTAAGTATCAAATGACAATGTGAAAGGGTTTGCCTTCTCAACTTAAATGGTCCAAGTGGCAAAAAATCAATTATTGCAGGTTTATCCAGGTCCAAACCCAGCCACATTCACATACTATAGATAGCAGCTAGCAGCAATATGACGTTTAATGTATTCTGTAATGACTGGATGTTAAAAGTTGCCATAAAAAGACAAGTATGACCACAGTAAATGTACATTACAGTATATGGCAGAAACTGAAACTGTAAGTTGTACGTGTGTAACCTACCTGGCAGACACCTGCTGGGAAATGCTTTTGGAGGCCTGGCGAAGGACATGTTGTAGGATTTTGAATACTTGCTCTCGAATCCACCCAACATCTTCTTGCACATCTGGCAGCCACTCCAGAAGTCTACACAACCGATATAACTGCTGTTACTCTGCTGTTACTCAAATGAGTAGGCCAGTCCAGTATTTTCTGCCACTAATCAATAAAAACATTCTCAAACTATAGAGCAATGACTTTTGGTGTACACAACTACATTAATAAGACAGACGTGGACATACAGAGGAAGTATTGTGCTGTGATAGTATTCTGAGTGCATATGAAATAAGGAGGAAATGGGACCAGATGTAATTAAGTCGTACAGTACCTGAGAGTCATGGACAGAGCCGACTCCAGAGGGAGAGTGTAAGGGAGCATCATGGCTGAGGCCATCCTGATAGGAAGGGTGTTGCTTAGCGACTGTGTCATGCTCCTCCTCTCCATGCAGGCCTCAACTAGAGCTGCAGAGGGAGGCAAAGAGGATCACAACGGTTACCAGCAACTATTCATAGAATTAACTTGCTTCACGCAGCACTATTCATGAGTGAAACTGACACACAGAAGTTGTGCTCTATTTTAATCTGTTTGAAAAGGGAAAACTACCCACAATTCCAATGTTCCAATACCAACACATTCATAGGCATTACCTCAGAGGATGAAGCTTTATATCTGAACTGACCAGCATCCAAAGCATCTTATAGTGTTTATTTTTAACTTTTATTTATTCAGGGAAGGTTCACGGAGAGGATGCCTCTCCATCACATGTGCACAGTTACACACATTAGCAACAGCTGTGGTCCACTGGCATGAACTTAAATTACCCGAGGTCAGCCTCAGTCTTTACAATATACCCCCCTGTGGCTCAGAGGTTCAATACACAAATCAGTACATGGCTCCTACAGACATGATGTGTCCAAATCAAGTTTGGTGATTTGATCCTTCATCCTACTTCTACAGATAAATACCCATTAAAGATTTAAAGTTTTGGAAATATATGACTTTCCCAGGACAGTGACAATAGTAAGATATAAGGCCCTTCCTCTCATTTGTTCTTCTATAATATGTTACCTTTGTGCAGGATGGGTGGAAGGTGTTCGAAAAAATGCTCTTCTATTGAGGAACTGCTATGAACCATCACTGCTCCCTCCTCCAAGGGTGGCTTTTTCTCATCTTCGTCGCTTTTATTGTCCTCCTCCTCCTCCTCCTCCTCCTCCTCATCAAAATCCTCATTTTCTTCCCTATTAGCTAGCAGGGGTCTGTCTCTGAGAGGGCCGTTTAAATTAAGCAATCCTGAAAGCAAGACAAATGTGGTGTGTTATCTGTGAACAATGGTGAAGTCATTTACTAAAGGACCAGTGTGTAGGATTTAGTGACATCTAGCAAAGAATATTCAATATATTAAGCTTATTAAAGACCTGATTATTATAAACAGAGCATAACATGATTTGGAGTATGTGTGAAAACAAAGTACTGTTTCTTACCATTCTTCTTTAAAAAGTGCAGAGCATCTTTATATCCCTGCTTACACATGGACTTCATAATCTGCACTCAAAACAAACACATACATCCATCTCTCATGAGTCAAAGAAGTCCACTTAGTTCACTCCAGTTCATCTGAGCCAATCAATTCATCTGTAGATATGTGTTATTGTGTGTGTGTGTGTGGATCTGGATGGTTGTAATCAAGTGACCTACCATTGGGTCTGGGGGGAACAGTGCCCTGGAGACTCTGTAGAGGTTGGTGAGGGTGAACTGGATGCTTGTGTTGGTGAATCGCAGCTCGTGTATGTTGGTGGAGGTGTCTCTGGGGCAGATGTCGCTCTCTCCAGAGAATGGCGACACCGTGATGGTATTTTTCAGCTCATACTGAGGCAGATTGTCTGAGATTCCTCCGTCCACATATCGCTGTAAGATGATAAAAGATAAATATTAGCATCACAAACAAACAGAAACAGAAACACTCTAATTTCATACTTCATGCATTGAAGGCAGAGGTGGGAACTAACTAAGTACCAATATTTTATTACTGTTACTTAAGTAGTTTCTCAGCTATTTGTACTTTACAACTTTTTACTTTTATTCCGTACATTTTTACACAAATATCTGTATTTTCTACTCCCTACATCCTTACTTTAGTTTTTAGATTTTTATTTTTTATTTATCAATATTGGACGCCATCCCAACATCAAAACCCCTGTTTATCACGCAGGACAGACATAATATATCGAAAACAACATAAAAGATGTAAAAGACGTAACAAGACATGACAGAAAAGAGAGGGAGACTCGACTTTCCAGTCAGCTTTGTACAGAAAGAGCCAACAGAAATATCATTCAGAGAAACCGAGAGAGTACTTTTTACATTTCAGAACCGATACTGTTTCACTTTTACGAAGACAAATATCTGCACTTCTATTTGAGTAAAGAACGTTTGTATGTTCGATTGAAGGGCTATCCATCAAACAGGATATGACACTGGTGACATCATATCCTGTGTATTGATTAATGTCTGTTTTTATTGAAGCTGGTGAACTTTTAAACTTGCTGTGTGTGTCAACAGATAAGAACAGAGTGACATCAGATTTTTGAATCCGAGCCACTGAGGGGAGAGGACAGAACAACCTTAAAGCCCTTGTCAACATGGACACATTTGGCTCTGCCACTCTCACAGTTTGGTCACAGGCCCCGCATACACACAGGAGCATATAAGCACTTAAAACCCATAACAGAGGCCACACAGGGAGGGTGGGAGCGCTGACATTGCTCAATAATGTTTACCAGAAAACCTTTGTGCTAGAAACATGTCCAGCAAAAAAAAAAAGAAAAAAAAGAAAATACAACCTTCCCCTTTAGTGTGAAACAAACACTAACTCCTGAGAAATTTTATAATCATTGTTTCCACCCATGTGCCCACAGAACAAACACATTTCTCAGGAGGGGAGGGCTTTCATGGGGGCAGTTACAGATGAAAAAAAAAGTGCCAAACGTGACAACCACTAAACACAATGAGAGGAAATACCGTACATGGTTCAAGGTAGACTGGTCATTACACCTCTCCAACAGCAATAAGTAACTACAGCTCTTAAAACCCACAATGTTTATAACGGTGATTTCTTTTCAAATATATATCCTATATTTAACGAACGATGCATACATGTTAAATAAAACTGAATCTACTCACCACTCCTTGCAGTGTGGGGGGAATGATACCACAGTACACTGGGATGTAGGCACTGCAGACACATGCCTAGTTAACCAAAGAGATAATATAAGAAACATAGAGGAAGGTGGAATTAACTTGGAGTGAGAAGACATTGTAGATATTAGTTAGGTGATATAGTGATAGTATATTGGTATTACAGTTTAAAACTACATTATACTTACTAATTATCACAATGTCATGATATAACTTGTGGATTTTGTCATTACATTACTGTAGCTGAGTCAAATAAATAGTCACTGTTTATCAGTAGGGTTGCAACTAACAAATATTTCATTTTTGATTCATCTGCAAATTATTTTCTTTGATTAATTGATTGTTTTGTCAGAAAACAGTGAACAATTTTACATCTTCTTTAAATGTTTTTCTTTTGTCTGACCAACAGTCCAACATACAAATATATTTAGTAAACAACTAAATAAAACGAGAGATGAGAAAAGCAGCAAATCCTCAAATTTGAGAGGAGCAGATTATGTTTGGACAATTTCACAATCAATCGACTAAACATTTCAGCTACAATCAACAATCATAACCACATTATCAATAACCAATCCTCAATATATAAGTGGTTCTGAAAGCACCCATGGACATCCTCCAGAATACTGTCACATTATCAGTATTGAGGGATTAAATCAGCTGTACTCTGACATCTGATTTTATTAATATCAACCAAATGTACTGCAAAATGCTGAAGAAAATATACTCGATGCACACCTGCACCAGCTCCTCCTTGCTGTCGAAGTGCGACACCAGGACATTTTCTCCATCTGTCACTCGGGTAAGAGAGATTCCTAACCGCCCGTTGGCCTGATTGTGACAATCAGCTGGCAGAGTACGCTGCAGCATGTTACGCACAATCTTCACCAGGTTAAAGGAAGGATGCATGGGTCCGAGGAAACGCTTCCTCGCCTCTTTGGCAACATCGATGATATTCGCACCAGCCTCTCCTGCAAAGACATTAAGACAATGTTACTATAAAGTATTAGATAAAGAGAAGATAGATACTAGAAGGAAGTTCCTGGGATGAATAACGTTCTTCATGCAACTGTACTCTGTGTACATAATAAAATCAGGAATTTGTTTGACAAATGTGACAAAACAGCAACATAATGAAGTACTGTGGTGCCGTAGAAATGTACTGGCCTACAAATCTTGTTCTCCAGATGTAAGAAAACACTTGTAGAGACGCCAACAAATGTCACATCATGATTTTAATGTTTTCTTTCAGTGAAAATAAAAATTGTGATTCTAAAACCATCATTCCCACTGATCGGGGCCTGCGATATGATTCACAATATCATCAATATGATGTATATATTTTTGTACATATGGTGCCACTAGTTCAAATTAGCCACACATTAAGTAGTGATGCTTGGAAATGGGACTGTCTTCTACACTGTGGTATTGCTACTTTTACTTAGGGGAAAGATCTGAGTACTTCTTACATCACTGATCAAGATGCTGCTTATATGTTGCTTTAAACCATTGCAAAAGGGGTCATTATGTTGTTAAATTTAATGAAACTTTACAGTTAATGTAACTTGTAACACACTTTGTTTATAGTGTAATCTGACTACTTCTTCCACCACTGGTAATGACACTGATATATCTCCAAAAACAAAGCTACATTTGCAATTTACAGCACAAGCAATTTCAACTTAAAACCTGAGTTTAGTACCACAGTAGTCTGGTATCAGAGCAAACACTGGAAAAAGACACTTACCAAGACACACTCCAGTGACCAGGGCAGTGGCAGTGAGGGCTCCAGCTGATGCCCCATATACGTGCCTGGCATTGTGCACCAGGAAAGGAGCCTGCTCCACCAGGCAGCTGGCCACACCGATGTGGTAGATACCGAGAAAGCCGCAGCCTGCAAACGAGATGTTCCACGGAGAGTCTAAAGGAAACATACCGGTGACCGTCCGGGAGCTCGGTCAAGTGGGGCTAAGGTCACTGGCAGCGATAACACCGCTTCCACCAGCTACAGTAAAACACAAAAGTAAAACAAATCTGCCGCTGAAGTTGAACACACTGTTTATGTTGTATTAATGATGCCTCTTCTCATGCTGACTTAGTGTTAATTGACTTTATCTAGCTACTAACTATCTGTTTTCTTCTAGCTAACAGGAGAAGTCACTGTTTTCGTTGCAGGTACCGTCGCTAAGTTATTATTTGTCCTCCTTCATGCTGTAGTATAACCCCGTTACTAAAATGCTCTAATTAGAAACTGCTCTGAGCTGGTTAAATAGTTCTCCGAGAGCCACGGGGAGTTGTTATTTCACCTTCGTGCTCGGTGTGGGTTGGGGAGGCGGGCGCAGGGTCCAATCACAATCGACCCCGCGAAGTAAGGCGACCAATCACGATTGAAACAGCTGATGAATGGACCAATCACAGCACACATCGCTGGAACTGATGAGCGGTCACCCTCTTCGCTCTGACGGCTGTCATATTAATGTAGGTTCTCATTTTGTACAATTAAAAAATGAATAAAAATGACAAAGAAAAGATAATGATACATACAAATGAGCTTATTTGAATCCTGCGATCCTTCGATGTTTTATAAAACACAAAATTAACATGCAGAAAATCATATGACTATTAAAGAAAAGAAAACTACTACCGCGAATAAAATGAACTTTGCTGCATGTCGTCCTCTCTCTCGGCCCCCTTTCCTGTCTCTCTCCAGCTGTACCTGTCAAATAAAGGCACAAAAGGCCAAATAATAATACTTTAAATATCTATATAGCAATAACAATAATATCTATATTAAAACAGATGTATGTGGTGTGTGTTTGTTTGTGTGTGCAAAAGGAAGAGCAGCGTTTTGTTTTGTCATTTCTATTTTTATCTGCCTGTTTGTTTGTGTTCACATTTTTTTATCCTAAAAAAATGAACTAAGCTATATTTTTCGCGATACGTGTTATCATACGGAAGAATGTATTGATTCCTGGCTAGATACCCTATTATTTAAGGCCCACATATCGATTAAAAACCTGCAATAGTGCGCACTAATCTCTTGTTTGTTTGTGTAACACTTTCAGTGGTTTTCCAGAACATTTGAGAAACTTATTTATTCAGTGACAAAAAATAGAATCTGTCCTAAAAATAAGGACGAGCACGTTTGGCTTTGCACCGTCTTTCTTACAAAATAGTAAACGGTAGTAACGTTTCACAAGAAATAGTAATGAAATTCAGCTTCAACAATAACAAAGTTTTTTATTCTGGAACATTTCCTTGAATAAACTATTCGCAGAACTAGGCTGCAAATAGTTTTCTGTGGGCACTGATCCAGGTTCTGTTTAGGACAGGGTCGCTTAGAGAACTATTGTGAAAGCTAGGGTTCATTGTCTTAAAAAAAGTATATCTATATCAAGTGTGCCAACTGCCCCAGGGCCCCAAAAGCCCCAGGGTCACTGAGGACCTTTGGTCTTGGTAATTTGAATAATTGCGTAATTGTACAGTAATTTGCACAATTAAAATACAATATCAATCAAAGGTCCTGCATTGTTATCCAGACCTTTTGTCTCACATGGTGCTTATTCTTAAAAAAGTTCCACATATAACCT